GGAGATGACAAGAGCTGGTAATTTTTTTGAGCAAGCTTCAGAGGATGGCGGAAGACAGGAGGGCCTGGCGGGAGCTGGTCCATGGGGTCGCGAAGAGTCGGACTCGGCTGTGCGACTGAACAACAACAAAGCTACAGCAGATTTCAGACAGAAAGGGCTTCTTCTGCATTTTCATTTTACTCTCTGGTAAGCTCCTGTTTGTTCGGGTTTTTTCCCTGTTCCACATGTGTTCTCCTCCCTCTTGTGGTTGATTCGATATACAGATTTGTGTCTGGCACAAAAACCTGCAGTTTAAATCCCCAAGGAAATAAACCGGTGTGATATCAAATCAACCACTAGAGCAGGGGTGGCGAACAAGTTCGACAAAAAGAGCCAAAATTTTAAACTGTGAGAGTCAGAGAGCCACACCACGCAGTGACCTGCCAAAACAGACAAACACTCACACAAAAGCATATACTTTTAACAATGACGCCCCGAGGAACTCCCCACACCCTGACCTACCGGCCGTCGCCAGCGCCGAAGACCGGGAGAGGGAGGCAGCGGCCCAACGCCGAACCTCCCCAGAAGACGCCCGGCTGCACGAGACGACCGCAGGACGCGCTCGGGCGCGGGGGCGAGAGCCCCGGCCCGAGACGCGTGACAGAAGCTGCGACAGGGGAGCAGGGCCGGCGGCGCGGCCTCAACGGCGACCGGATGACAGGGAGCGCGTGTCCGGTGGGCGTCTACCCGGCGGCGCGCGTCTCCTCTGTTAAAAGAGAGACGGAGCGTGCCAGAGGTCGTGCGGGAGTGTCGGCAGAGGGGCGCTCGGGGTGACGTCAACCCCGCCCCCTGCCATTCTGAGGTCCTCTTCTACCCCGTCTTTTCCAAACCCTCGCCTCCAGAGCCACGCCGCTCCTCACGGGGCCACTCACGTCGTGCCACAACGGCCACTGGGGCGCCACCCCCAAGACCAAGGAGGAACGCGACAGAGCCACAATATACAAAATGATGATAAGAGGCAAAGAGCCGCATTAATTTTGGCCGGGAGCCGCATGCGGCTCTAGAGCCACGTGTTCGCCACCCCTGCACTAGAGGGAGCAAAACACATGCAGAACAGGAAGCCTTTTTTTGAAGAAACAGGAACTTACCAGTGAGTAGAAAGAGAATGCAGAAAAGCCCAAAGCTGGGGGGAAAGAGGGGACTCTAATCTGGGAGGACCGGGTTTGATTCCCCCACTCCTCCACTTGCACCTGGCTGGATGACCTTGGGCAAGCCGTAGTTCTGATAAGAGCTGTTCTTGAAAAAGAGCAGTTTCTGTCAAGAGCTCTCTCAGCCCCACCTCCCTCACAGGGTGTCTGTTGTGGGGAGGGGAAGGGAAAGGGGTTTGTAAGCCGCTCTGAGACTCCCTTGGGGAGTGAAGGGCGGGGTATAAATCCAATCTCTTCTTCTTTTTCTTCTTCATCATGCATCTGACAGAGGAGTCTTTGAAGGCTGAAAGCATACATCATAATGAACGCATTAGTCTTTAAGGAGCTATCAGAGCCTCTCAGTTTGGCCACGACAGCTGCCTCGGGAGGTGGGGAGCTCCCCCTCACCGGCAATCTTTAAGCCGCGGCTGGACAAACATTTGTCAGGGATGCTCTAGGCTGATCCTGCATTGAGCAGGGGGTGGTGGACTACTAGATGGCCTGTTGGGCCCCTTCCAGCTCTGATTCTGTGGCTCGCCCCCACGGGAATTTCTTACCGGATCAACAGAGCAAAGAGCGATACTTGAAGTTTTGTGTCGAGACTGAAGATCCGGTACCCTATAGGAGAAGGAGAGCGAGCAGCATTTTGGACACCTCTCCTCTCCCACAGCACATCAGAATAAAAGAAGTGCAGCGTTCTGCTCAGACAAAACTCGATGGCAAGCGAGCAGGGGGCAGAACTGGAGGAGGGGAGGGCCCACGGTAAAGGATGTACTGTAACGTCTTGCCCAGCCAGAAGGGGAACCTTCTCTCTCTCTCTCCCCCTCCCGTCACAGCTGTTCCTGACGGTGGAGCGTAAAGTCCTGCAGGCCCTGGAGGAGCAGATCGAAAGATTCAAGGAGCGAAACAGGAAGGTGAACTACGTGAGCGAGGGGCTGCAGCTGAACTACGAGGGAATGGCGTCGCTGATCGAGAGTAAGCCCAGCGCAGAGGTAAGCGTTTCCTTTACGGCCAGGCCGAGGTTAACAGAGGCAAACCGGTTCAAGCCCGCCCAGATGTGAGCGGCAAAAGTTACGCCCCAACAGAGATACTCAGCCACTGTGTCATGTCACCAGGCAGGGCTGTCGGAGTGACCGGAGCTGCATCTCAGGGGGCAGTGGTAGCAGATTAAGGACTTATTACTGGCTCTGTAGTGAAGTGTGCTGGGGAAGTTCAGGCAGCTTATTCTGGAGGGTGCACTGTCAGTCACGGCCTCACCCTCACGGTTGCCTCTGCTACCCTGCAGAGGAGCCAGGGCACATAGTGGTCCTTCCCTCCTCGTTACCAAAGGGTCTTTAAAATGTGTTTTAAATTCACCTGGGCAACAACGAGGGAAGGACCATTAAACTAGGGGGCCCCCAATGTGGTGCCCACCAAGTGTTTTTAGGAAATGGGGTGGGGGCCAGGTAGAAGAAGAGATTGGATTTATACCTCGCCCTTCACTACCCAAAGGAGTCTCAGAGCGGCTTACAATCACCTTTCCCTTTCCCTCCCCACAACAGGCACCCTGTGAGGTAGAAGAAGAAGAGATTGGATTTATACCTCGCCCTTCACTACCCAAAGGAGTCTCAGAGCGGCTTACAATCACCTTTCCCTTTCCCTCCCCACAACAGGCACCCTGTGAGGTAGAAGAAGAAGAGATTGGATTTATACCTCGCCCTTCACTACCCAAAGGAGTCTCAGAGCGGCTTACAATCACCTTTCCCTTTCCCTCCCCACAACAGGCACCCTGTGAGGTAGAAGAAGAAGAGATTGGATTTATACCTCGCCCTTCACTACCCAAAGGAGTCTCAGAGCGGCTTACAATCACCTTTCCCTTTCCCTCCCCACAACAGGCACCCTGTGAGGCAGGTGGGGTCCAGAGAGCTCTTGACAGAAACTGCTCTTTTTCAAGATCAGCTCTTATCAGAGCTACGGCTTGCCCAAGGGCATCCAGCAGGTGCAAGTGGAGGAGGCGGGAATCAAACCCGGGTCTCCCAGATTAGAGTCCGCAGACTTAACCACTACACCAAACTGGCAAAAGGTGGGGCCTTTTTCCCAGCAAGGCTTCTGATGGGCTGTGCAGATTTTTTAAAATGTTGTTTTGGCGGGGGTTGCCACCACAGCGCAAGGATCTGCACTGTGTGACTGGAGTTAAGCTGCGGCAGCCATTTTGTGGCCTGCTCCGCCTCCTTGTGGTCGCGCCCACTACGCCATGTCAGAATTCCAAATGTGCCCGCAGGTTCAGAAAGGTTGGAGACCCTGCAGGTTAGACCCTTCACCTCTTCCGCAGGGTGGCAGTGAGTGAGGGGGCCTTTGCCTCAGGCACTACCCCACTGGTTGAGCCACCACTGTCCGGAACGATCCCGACACCAGGGTGACGGGCCTTGGATCTAACAGAACGTGGCCCAGCACCAGTGCAGTTACTGCCAGGAACAGAAGCGCACCTACAGAAGTCAAGCTTTCTGCAGCTAACACAAAAGGTGTGTGTGTGGTGGGGGAGAAACAGAGCTGGTACAACGGAGTAAAAAATCTTTAGCCCTTTCCTGTGTCTCCCCCCCCCCCATCTTATTCATAGTGTGTAACAGAGCAGCTGAGAGAAGGCACCCACGGTGTCTGGTTCACTGGCCACTCACCGGCCCTCTCCCTTTACCCTCTCCCACCACCAACCATCCTTATTTGGAGAATTCCAGTGCTAGCTTTCATCCCTACAAAACACACTCAAGGTGGCTCACTCAAGAATACAATCATGAAACGTATAAACAAAAGGGATAATGAAAGAGGTCCACCATACAGGGCTGTTGGAAGGGTTACCGCAACAATCCAGAAGAAGGGCTATCTTTTGGCTCTGCTATGCTCCTGCAGAGTGCAGGGGGGTGGACTAGATGACCTGTAAGGTCCCTTCCAACTCTAACATTCTGTGATTCTAAGGGCCGTGAACAGCCCTCCACAAATCCTTAATTATCCTCTCTTCTTCCGCTTCCCCTTGATCGGGAAGCTACGGCGTCCAACGAACTGTGAACAAAATAGGAGACATCAAATACAGTGCAGAGCTCAGCTTTTTCCGGTGTGAAATGTAAAGAGCCAGTTTAGTGTAGCGGTTAGGAGCGCGGACTCTAATCTGGGAGAACCGGGTTTGATTCCCCACTCCTCCACTTGCAGCTGCTGGATGACCTTGGGCAAGCCGTAGTTCTGACGAGAGCTGCCTTTGAAAGAGCTCTCGCAGCCCCACCTACCTCACAAGGGTGTCTGTTCTGGGGAGGGGAAGGGAAAGGAGTTTGTAAGCCGCCCTGAGACTCCAAGTGAAGGACGGGGTATATATCCAATCTCCTCCTTCTTCTCCCCCTTGGTCAGGAAGCTACGGCATCCAACAAACTGTGAACAAAATAGGAGACGTCAAATACATTGCAGAGCTCAGCTTTTCCTGGTGTGAAATGTAAATTTTTGGCACCGTTTTATTTATTTGATGCATCTTTGCTCAGACAGAGGCTTTGTTCATGTGCTCACGCAACTCTTACGTTACCTGCAGGGGAACTCTTCCAATACTGCGGAGCAGATACCGTTGGAACTTGGGAGAACTGTGGAGGAATGACCGATTTTGCAGCTGCGAGCTAGAAGATGCACAGTCCGCCCAGGAATTGTCACGGCGTAAACCCTGTTACTGCAAAGAGAAGATATTACCTTGTCGTGTAGACCCCCCCCCCTCCCCCGTCCCCACCAAACAAACCAAAACGACTTGGATGGTTTCTGTTAAGAGTGTTCTGTCTGATCTCTCTCATCTATAAACAAAGCGCCGGGGAGGGCGTGGGAGTCGTTACAAGACGGAAGCTTTATTTTACTACTTTTAATAAAGAGGAGATTACAATACTGCACTGGGAAATAAATAAGTTATTCAGCCTGTGTTCCCAAGGACATGGTACAAAATGTTTCAATTCACACATCACACACAGATGTCTGTACAGAGAGAGGCCTTGGTGCTTGGCTACTGAAGTCAACGGGACCTTGGGCTCCCACTGTTGATGAGACGTTCCAGGTAACCGGTGGTCCATCAGTAGCACGTGGAGGCAAGAGTCTGCTTTGTGGGACTTAAGTCTTGATGACCCCCAGAGAAACGTTCCAGATAGAACCAACAACTTCTCGAAGACGAGAAGAGCAGATGGGCCCCCGGTTGCTCCAAAGATCAGAGAGTCCGCCGCCCGCACGGTTTGATATTGGGCCAAGTTCAATGTCCGTTGGCTCCCTCAGAGAGTATCCGGGACGGCTCGGTATACTTGGCGGTGAGCAAGTAGAAAAGAGCCGGGCCGGGCACCAGAGCCAGCAGAGGCAGATCTCGGTAGTTCAGCTTGGAGATGGAGACGATCCCGTAGGCGTGAAGCACCCAGTGGCTGAACAGCACAATCAGCCGCTTCTTCCTCACGAGGAGGTCCTTGAAAGTCTTGCAAAGCGGGAGACAGAATTTTCTCATTAGTATGTTTTTAACGTTCTCATTCTCCGAAGCATCCAGCGGGAAAGGAACAGAAGAAAACCCCCAGAGTTTTAAAGCAACCTGTCTGCCTTTGTCCGGGGTGGGGAGACCAAAACAAGGGACTTGGTTCTCCATGATATAGATGGGAGGTATCTTAGGGATCCTTGCAACTCCCAAATTATTGGGGGGGGGGAGAGATGCACACCCTTCTGTCACCATTCAGAGCAGCCGGGAGGGCAAAAGAGGCTGTGGGAATTGTCTGCCTTACTGGCCCCCTCATAACAGCCAGGGCAAGAGAGAAGCAGCAAACCATCTCCTGCAACTGACTAATGTGGTCGGGAAGGGCCTATCTTTGCCCGGCATGGCAAGATCAGCTGCTGCTTGAGCAAGCTGAATACCACCTTCTTTGAAAAGGGAGGCTTCCGGCGCTTTCCCCTCCCCTTCCTCCCACTCTGGCCCTTCTGCCTGGCCGGCTTCTCAGAAGATCAACTGATGTGAGCCTCTTTCCATTCCCGGCATTCTACGCCCTCCACTCCACACGGCAGAACGGCTGCCGGAACTGAGCCAGCCCCCCCAGCGTTAATGGGCAAAAAAGCCTCCTTCGACACAAAACACGCAGTTAAGGAGGCACACTGAAGGTGAAGACGGAACAGGCCGCTCTAGGTTTTGTTTCTCTGTTCAAACATTTCTGTCCTGCCTCCCCTCTTGGCTCAAGGCGGCCTTGCAAGAAGGATCAAAGCGGTTCACGATATTCTAAGTTGCAAACGGCGGATACAGCCTGCCACTTTCTGAGCCTAGATTCGTGGCCGCTTCCGTTTGACCTCCCGCTTCTCCGCTTTCGGATTCTAGCTCGAGACCCGAACGCAACTTTAAAAAGCAGCAGCCTCTTACTTACCTCGACTTCAGAAGCCGACATGTACACAGCCAGGGTAACGAGGGACAACACTAAGATGATGTAAGGGAAGGCATAGTCTGGAAGGAAACAGCAGTCGGTTATCTCGACGTAGCAACAGCGGATCTGTCTAGTGCAGAGGTGTCAAACTCATTCAAATGAGACCTTGTTGGGCCGGGCCATGTGTCATAAAATGTGATGCCAGGTAGTGGAGACATAAACTTTATAAAGGACACAAACACAAAGGGTGGGTTTTTTACTTAAAATAAAAACATGCTTAAAACGTTAGCTCTGTAAGCTGCAAACCTACTTTTGATTTATTGACATTCACCACAGAAATCTCATGCTCAGAGTTCTGAGTCTAGGACCCAGGTTAAAACATGAAATGGCTGAGTGATTAAGAGAGTCTGGTGAAGCAAACTATGATGCAGCAGCAGCAGAACTGGAAGCAGGAGATGGCCGGTTCCATTGCGGGCCTGATGGAACCCTTCCGGGGGCCTGATCGAGCCCCCGGGCCACATGTTTGACACCCCTGGTCCAGTGCATCGCCCACTCTTAAGTGGATACTAGACCCAGCTGCTTCCTTGAGGAGCCTTTGGCATGATCCAGAGAACACCACCCTTGGAGTTCTGCCCTGAAACGCTGCTCAGGAGCGGTGGTGGGTCTCAGGGTGCCAGGTTTAATCTAAACGAGTCTCCCCAGGAGGGAAGGCTGTTCATTCCTGCATCCAGAGGCTTTCCGCCATGCTTTTAGGATAAAAGCTGTCTAGAAAGGAGCACAAGACTGCTGTCTAGCAATCAACGAAGGGTCAAAGTAGATATCCTTTCAGCATGGATTGGGGGGAGGGGGTCGTACTGGTCTGCAGTAGAAAACCAAACTCCATCAAGGAAGCCGCAGCCCTCAGTTTGCAAGATCTGAGCAAGGCTGTTAACAACAGGCCGTTTGGGAAGACATTAATTCATAGGAAAACCAAGTTCAAGTCCAGTGGCACCTTTTAAGAACATAAGAGACGCCAATGTTGGATCAGGCCAAAGGCCCATCCAGTCCAACACTCTGTGTCACACAGTGGCCAAAAATACCAGGTGCCATCAGGAGGTCCACCAGTGGGGCCAGGACATTAGAAGCCCTCCCACTGTTGACCCCCCCAAGCACCAAGAAGACAGAGCATCACTTGCCCCAGAGCCCCTATCTATACCTTGTGGCCAGTGTTCCCTCTAAGCTGAGTTAGTGTGAGCTAGCTCACAGTTTTTTAGCCTCCGCCTCACACATTTTTGTCTCAGCTCAGGAAGGAGGGCTCCAGAGCAAACTAATTTATGCAGTAGCCAAATTGCTCACTCACCACTTTCATGCCAGTAGCTCACAAAGTAGATTTTTTGCTCACAAGACTCCACAGTTTAGAGGGAACATTGCTTGTGGCTAATAGCCACTGATGGACCTCTGCTCCATATGCTTATCTAATTCCCTTTTGAAGCCGTCCATGCTTGTAGCCGCCACCACCTCCTGTGGCAGTGAATTCCAAGTGTTAATCACTCTTTGGGTGAAGAAGGACTTCCTTTTATCCGTTCTAACCCGACCGCTCAGCAGTTTCATGGAGTGCCCACGAGTTCTTGTATTGTGAGAAAGGGAGAAAAGTATCTCTTTCTCTACCTGCTCTTTCCCATGCCTAATCTTGTAAACCTCAGTCGTCTTTTCTCCAGTGTTTTAAGACCTTTTACGACCAGCAAAGTTGTATTCAAGGTATAAGCTTTTGTGTGCACGCATCCTCCTTCAGATACAGTGACATGGAGGATAACCAGTCCATAGGCACCTAGTGTGCCTGCCCACGAAAGCTTATACCTTGAATAAAACATGGTTGGTCTTACAGGTGCCGCTGGGACTCCAGCTTTGTTCTGCTGCTTCAGAGCCATCTGAGCTGTTAAAAGGACGACACCTCAAAACCCAGAAGCATTTCGGGATTTCGGTGGAAGATCTAACACATTCCATTATAGAATGCCCTCTGTATACTGGCCCCGGAATCAGATTTCTTAACCCAGTCCTAGCAACTTTACAATCCACATCAGGCATTGAAATAGTCACCTTTTTGCTCTCAGACGTCAATCCCACTATCTCCTATAGAATGGCACTCTATGCTCATGCTGCAAGGAAAATTAGAGATAAGGCTACGGAATGACTGTACTTTCAGAATTTGCTATTCGAGATTTTTAAAATCTCGATTTTAAAATTTATACTTCATCTATATATTTTAATTTTCCTTTAAATGTATTGCCAATCTTTGTACTGTTTTTTCTCTTTTATGTTGTGATGGCCATTGGCTACACGCAATAAACGTTGAACTGGAACGGCTTCAGAGCAACACGGCGACCCCACCTGAATTAATTCACAGGCTCACCGTAAGTCTGAAGAGACTTTTAACTGCACTTGACGCACGCACGCACACACACACGGCAGAGCAAGATTAGAGTCCAATGGCATCTTGGAGACTAAGGAGATCACCAGGGTGTACGTTTCC